GCGGGAGCTGTGGCAGGAAAGGGAGGACAGCAGCGAGTTCTATGCAGGGGGCACGCAAGTCAAACTGGGGCCTGGGCTCTTCTACACCTCGCCACTCTTCCCCTTGCTGGCCTCCGAGGTAGCCTCAGCCCAGAAGCAGCTCAGCAGCATGGTGCAGCTGGCCAAGTGCCACTGCCGCAGGGACAACCTCTGGAAGCGCCTCTTCCTCCTGGAGCCTCTGGCTTCTGACAAGCTGAAGCTGGGCAAGCTCTCGCTGGTGGAGCTGGAGGAGCTGCTCGATGCTGTGCATGGGAAATCCATTGCTGATGTTGACCCCCAGCTGGTGAGCAGCAGGGATGGAGTCATGGTGTGCAGCAGTCACTGTTCTGCTCTGGGGAGGGGGTGGACCTCTGGGTGAAGGGCACATCTCGTACTGCTTGGTGGGAAGATAGAGACAAGAACATAGCTCCTAGCTGGCAGGGGAAGGGGGAGGTCGCATGGACCTGTCTGTGGAGAGTGGATGGCTCTGGGTCGGTGTTCCTCAGTGGGCTGTGATGGATGCTTCTGCTTTGGGATCTGAAGGCTGGTGTAGCATTACGGCTGCTGGTGCCATGGCTAGAGGGAGGCTGAATCAGCCCTTTTCCATGCCCATAGGGATGCTTCCTCACCATGACAGTCTCCTGGTACCAGAGCCTCATCAAAGTGCTGTTGAGCCGCTTTCCCCAGAGCTGTCGGCACTTCCACAATGCTGAAACTGGCACCCAGTATCTGGTAAGTCCCAGCCTGTCACCCACCTGCAGCCTCTCTCCTCCGTTGTCGAGGGGCTCTGCCAGCTGTGGCTCCTCACAGTGTGAGCCTGGTGTGTGCTGTCAGGACAACATGGGAACTGTCATGATGTTGCTCTCCACTCTGCTACTGGTGCAGTATGAGGTGTGTGCTCCTGTGGTACAGCAGTGTCTGTTTGTCCCCTGGCAAGCAGGACACTCTTTACACTCAGACCCTCATGCCATGTATAGCCCTGTGGTTTGGCAGTGTCACCTGTGAGCCAGGCAGACTTGCGCCTTCATGCCACTCATTGTGCACATCAGCACGTCCCTGGGTGGGCGTTGTTCGTATCCCTATCCTGGGGTTTGTGCTGTCTCCTTTGCAATGTGTGCTGTGGCTCTCTTGACAGGTTGTGCTCAACCAGAAGTTCACGGATTGCTTCGTTCTTGTGTTTCTTGATTCCCATTCAGGAAAGACGGTAAGAACTTGGGAACATAAGAGCAGCTATATTGGCTCAGGCCAGGAGTCTGTCTAGATTCAGCCAACACTTGCCAAGGGCAGGTGCCCATGGGGAGAATAAGAGCAAGTCAAGAGGCTTGTTAACACCTTTCCCAATTATTGTCCCAATATCTGACAAACTGTGGCCCAGGCCTGTCCTGAGCTAGAGGTGGCCTTTGCATTTATTTAACAGCCCTCCACATTGATTATTTCCTTTGGTTAATTTGTGGCATCCATGATTTCCCCTGACTTGCTGCTCCGTGATGCAGTTACAGTCTAGGTGAAGAGCTACCTTCCTTGGCCCTCTTTTTGAACCTCCTTCTGCTTTTTCATGTGATGCCCTTGGTTCTTGTATTGGAAACCGGTGAGCAGTTGATCCCCTTTTCCTTCGCAGGGTTGCTTTTTGGGTCATGCTCTCAGCTGTCTCTCTGTCTAGGCTGAAGAGTCCTTCAGTATTCAGTCCAAAGCCAGAGCACACTGGGTCTGGCTGGGAGGGGTCACCAGTGCTGTGGGCTGCTCCTACCTGGGCAGAAAGGAAGGGGACCTGCACAGGCCTTGGCCTTCACTGGACTTGAGGGCAAAAACACTCTGCTTTCAGCTGTGCTCCCAGGCAGGGTGCAGGATGGGTCACAGGGAATGCAGCTCCAGGTGAGAGCAGGGGATCTACAAGACTCTTCGCTCTACAGTGAGGCTGTTGCAGAGACTGCAGCCTATCTGATCCCTTTGTAAATAAATCACAGTCCATCTTAAAAGCAGGTAGAGGAGACAGAAGAGGTGATGCCTGCTGGAAGGCTGCTCAGTGTCTCCTGCCACCTGTCAGTGAAGAGCCCTTCCCATTTTGTGCTGGAGCTTTTGTCATGGCCAGTTCTATCTTCTTCATGCCACCGGTAGCTCAGAGCT